GACGAGACAGCTCAGGATATTCTTTCAGTGAAATTTTACATGATTTTCTCTCAGTCTTTTAAAATATTTTACAGGCATTAAAATACTTTTTTAGATCTTTGAGTTCAAGTTAATAGTCTCATGAAAAAACTCATAGGTGTTGATTTATGATTTTGCAGATTAGATGAAGTGAGTCCATACATTTCAAATACCAGGGAAAAGCAAACATGGCGGGTAGAGATTACCTGCTTTAAACAGGTTCAGGAATATTCATGATGTTATTTATAACTCATTGAGCCTAGGAAGGTGTGATAGGGAGGAGGCTTTGTGCTTAGAAAGGAATAAAAGTGTAGACTAGACATCAAAGTTTTTATCATCAGAACATTTGCACAAATATCCCCTTAATGAAAGCTCCAGTAGACATAAGGAGACAGGGAGTTCTAGGTGTGACTGTGGGCGTGGAGGGCATGTGCTAATAAGGTGGCCATTCTCACTCAGGGAGAAGCCAGCACAGGCCCCCAGGGCACAGATTATTCCTTCTGGAATCAAAAAATCCATGTAAACAATGCATTTTCAACAGGCTGCATTCTCCTGGAAGAAACAGAAGAGATTAAATGAGCTCAAACCCTGTTTTCAGCCCCACTGCAAGGGTCCTAAAGTAGCCCTCCTCCTGTGAGGGGCTCAGCCAGCAGCCCACCAGGGGAAGCGAGGCTGAGAGTCTCAGATTGCTGCACAAATAACACCCAAGGTGTACTGGGCCCCAGCCCCCCACACACACATCCAGAATCTGAATCACGAGCTTATCTTCAAAGCCCTTTGGTGTCTCTCCATTGGCACCTGGACAGGCCTGGCCTTCCCCCTCCTGCGCTGTGGACCCCAACACTGGCTTCATTCCATTCCTGTCCCCTCAGGGTTTCCTCTCAGGCTGTTCCTTCCCCTGCCCATGGCTTGGTAGGCCCTCCTCACCTGCCTGCCGACCCACCAGCTAGCTGCTGCCAGAGGGGTACGCTGGCCTCCAAAGCTCCATCTGTGACCCAGTTCCTGCCATCATGTTTGGTCCAGGAGGGCAGATCCTGATTGAATATACACAGTGTATTAATTAATTAGCTTGTTAATTAAATGTTGATGTGTTTACTAACATGTGTGTTTCTATTGATTTGTATAGTGGGAGAATTATTTAAAAAAAACAAAACAAAACAGTGATCTATACTTGGATAATTACCAGTCAAGTATGAGGCACTGGGCCTATGCACTGCCTTTGATTCTCACAATGATGCTGTAGGTTGAGCACTGTTCTTTCCATTCTAAAAGGGAAAGACAGAAAATTAGCTGGGACCTAGCTTGACTAAGTTCACACAGCCAGCAGGTGGAAGTATTGAGCCATACATGCATATACCTCGATACTACACGTATGTGGTACACACAGACACGAAAGTATACAACACAGAGAGAGACGAGTATATCTCATCTGCCATCTGTCTCTTGTCTATCTTCCTATCTTTTAGCAGACATCTCAGAAAAAGAACTTTAGCCCACCAATAGCTTTTAACTTACATTTAATTTAATTTAATTTTAGGTGAATTATCCACATTTAATGAATACCTAGATGAAATCAGATTTTCTTTGAAAGCTTCTACAGTACATTTTCATGTGGCCGTGACAGCACACACTGTAAGTGTGAGTGGGCATGAAATCCAGGAATGCATGTGGAAGTGGTTTTATAGTGACTGACACCCATGATTTAGGGAACGGAACACCTTGGGCCATGTGTCATGGCTAAAGAGTGTTTCCATTGACTCACTTTCTTTGGGGGAAATAGCTCACTACTTTCAAAACTCAGCACAGCTGTATTTCTGCTCCTCAAAGTCTGATCACCGTTAAGTTTGATATACACATCTTTGCTTGTTCATTGTCATAATGTGAAGTTCTGTTAAGTAGAAATTATTCCCAGGGACATCCAGAGAAAATCATAAGATAATAAAAGAGCCATCATTTACTGGGACCCCACTATATAACGGTGAATCTAATCCTTACAGCCTTACAAAGAATGTCTTCCTTGCCCCCAGTTGTCATATGCCAGAGTCACAAGCTTCCAGACCAGTTGTTTTCCAGCTAGACTGGAAATGGCAAGTGTATTTATTATAAGGGGATTTTTATTGTAAAATGATTTGTGAATTTGTGATAGATTTTGATTCTAGTAAGATATTTATGCAGCTGGCAAATTGGAATTCTTGTGTGCTTTTAATATCCATGCTTGTTGATTCAGACAAATACAGTTGAACCTCGTAGTTGACCTCCTCACATTGGCCACCTCCTTAAGTTGACCTAATTTTCATACACTGGTCATGCAGGACATGTATGCATCAGTACAGCAGGCCTAGTTCCTTATGTTGGCCACCTCAGTGCTGACTGGTTTGTTACAGTCCCTTGGCTGGTCAACTTACAGAGGTGCTGCTGTTCAGTGATCTGGTCAATGAGATTGACCCATTTGAACATGGTGTGCTCTGAGCATTGAGGTGGAGAGAATATTGAATGGAAGTTCGGAAAGTTTCATTTGCGTCCTCAACATTGAGGATTTGGTTTTATATGATCAAAATCTTCTGAATTTTTTGGAGTCATTTCTTCTTCTTATCACTTACAATTTCTTGTATTGTGAATCTATTCTCAGTATTCCCATCTGTATGGTCACTGTTATGTAAGCAAAGATGTATAATAAAAATTCTTATACCATGAAGCATAATTCTACTTATGGGCATAACATATTTTCTACAAGACTCTGTAATCTATAACTCGGTATGTTTTATAAACATGAAAAAAAAGCAATTTAGTCAGGCATATAAATATACGCCTGGCATTTAGTCATGGCTGTTTTTATTCTGAGTTAGTTAGCAGCCACTCCAGATCTCTCTCTCCTGCACTCAGATCCCTTGTAGACTAGAAGGCAATGCCTGATTTCTGACTCATTCCATTCACTCTAAGTGACAGGTACTGCTTTGCAGTGAATTGCATTTTTAAGAGACAGAACTTAAATAATAGAAGGAAAATAACAGGCATCTTATTATCCTGCCTGGCAAGATTCAATTGTCCCCTACCTCTAAATCTTTATCTATAAATGTAAGAGATGTTTGTCTATGTAACAATTCTTCTTCTTCTTCTTCTTCTTCTCTTACTATCTTTTGAAAAGAAACAGGATACTGGCTGATTTTCAAGAGGCTCTGCTTTCCAAGAAACAGAGCTTCCAAAGTTAACAGCAGGTCACCCAGTGAGGGACCTGCAATTGGGCTGAAGGGTCACTACAGGGCTGTAGAAAATGTTTGCCAAGTAATCTCACTCCATGACTGACATGTACTAGGCTGTGGATTAGAGAACAACATCTACTAAACACTGGGCGCAAATCCCTCTCTTGTTTTCTCAAACGAAAGGGAAAAGTGCATTTGAACATTCTACCTAAAATGCGTGTTGTCGCCTGATGGTACCATCAGTCCAGGGGGCCTCGGAGGGTAGTGGAGGCTTTCTATGGAAAGGGGCAGGCATGGGCCAGTCTGTTTGCCATTACTCAGTATTCCTCTTATCTGAGAAACCCGAATGGCAGGTGGCTGGCTGGCCTGGGTAGTGGACATGGATGACCCGACATTTATTGGCACCTTGGGCTATGATGAGTACAAATAGCCTCAAACGCTATCTGGAGCTGGACCAAACACTTCCCAGCAACATTCTTGTTTAATAAGTCCTTGAATTGTTGGCTTTTTCCTCTCACTTTTCTTTTCCCTGCTTCCCTCCTGATGGCTCTGATAGCTGTAGGTTTGTTTTATCTGGTTGTTTATCTTCCCTTCTCGTTGATTCTAAACTCCCTCTCAGTCTGCCCTTGTCCTTACCACTGACAATGGAATGGGAGGACTCTCCCGCCAGGAGCTCACCATTCTGGTTTCTAAAGCTTGACCAGAAATGCAAATCCTGGATGTAGCCGTGGTCGTGTCCTGCCACCGACTGTGAACCGCAGAACTGCACCAGTTCTGTGCTTCCTGACCGAATGGAAAGCTCTTAGAGATAAAGAAAAAGACTAAGAATGAAACCTGGTTATTAGAGGTTTTAAAGGCAACTATCTGGGTCCATCTGTGTCTGCGAGGGTTTCGTTTCTGCTACTGATGGTCTCAAACAGGAAGTTAGGAAGCGAACACTTTAAATGCTATCTGTAAATTCTGCTTACAACCAATACTTCCTACATTCCTGATGAATTTGGTGGTTAGCTAAAGGGTTTTGCTGTGATTTTGTTGCTTCTGAGTTCCATTTTAAGCTAATTATGAAACCAGAAAACTACAAGGCCGTGTTTCCACCTTGATGCTCTTCCCTGTTCTAAATGTATCTCCCAACAACCCAGAAATAAGAAAATAATAGTTGATTCTCATTGTTACCAGGTCACCATGGTAATGGGATTGCCAAAGGTAATTCCAGGCACTAACATTATAGTTTTAGTTTGCTGTTCTAATTTCCACTAATGCAAAAAAAATTTAAAGTACTTAGTGAAAGCATATAGATATGTTAAAATCATATCAATGAATATAATAAAGTCAAATAATTTTTATCGTCTTGAACACAAGCAAGATAGTAGATTCCTCTAATTTGAATCAGATTTCATGTCTTTAATCTTATTTTATTTCTCTCTTTCTGAAGGTTATGTAAGACTTTGCAAATAAAGTAATACGCATTGCTTTAAAATGTACTGAAAATCTTTCCCGCCTGGTTTTGATGGCATCAAAACGTTACATTCACTTGAGTCCTGATTTAGTTCAGGACACATGAGGGTAGACTCACGCTGGTTAACTGCTTGTCATTTAGAACTTGCCTGTGACACTGAGTTTCCCGGTAGTGCAGATCATTAAGCTGCTCCCAGGGCCTCCCATTTGTCTTATAAGAACCAGGTGTTGTCTAAACAAAATCAAGTCACTTTGGAAGAAATACTGAGCAGGCAAGAGAAGTGATGGATGGATGTTGAGATTTTTCTTCTCCCCTATTGTTTTCAGAGCCAAACTTCGTTTCCTCTTATGACATCGGAAATTTTACCTACTTCTTTTTCCGAGAAAATGCTGTGGAGCATGACTGCGGGAAAACCGTGTTCTCCAGAGCTGCCCGGGTCTGCAAGAACGACATCGGTGGGCGGTTTCTGCTGGAGGACACCTGGACCACGTTCATGAAGGCACGCCTGAACTGCTCTCGCCCCGGGGAGGTCCCGTTCTACTACAATGAACTGCAGAGCACGTTCTTCCTGCCGGAGCTGGATCTCATCTACGGCATCTTCACCACCAATGTGTACGTAACTTGAAATAATTTCTTTCCCTGCTCTTTGACTCATTCTAAATAAGTCTTTTGTTCTTTGACCTTTGAGGTTTTAAAGTTGCTTTAAAGGAAATCTTTCTTATTTTACTGGGCTAGCAGCCAGAAAAAAAAAAAAAAAGACTTTTCACTATGAACTAAATGTTAGGCAAATGTGAGACAAAGAGATGTGATTTGTAAGACTTGTGTTAGGAAAATGAAGCTAATCACGGACGTTGTGTTTTTATGTTTAGGGAATAGTAATATCAAATTATTCTCCTGTGACTTGCCCCTCCCTGACTGGCCAGTGTGTTCTGGGCTCTTTCTGAATTGCTGGTTTATATTAGATGTATGTGTTGTGCTACACACAAGTTATGCATTTACACATAATGAAAGAAGTGTTGTCCGGGGAGTCTGGTCTATGGGGAGACAACACAACTCTGAGATAACACAGCCCTGATCGCATGTGAAAGGCACATCATCATGTCCCTACAGCTGCGTTTTAGCCCGTCCTTCTAGAAGAGGGCTAACGTGGGCACACATTTTATAAATGACACTTAAACTAATAAAATATTTTTGAAAAAGGTATTTTTTTTTCCCCTTTGGGGGAGGATATTTCTAACTTCAGAAGGATCTGTTTTGGACTGGGTGAGCCTATGAAGATTTCTGACCACTCCATGCTTCACCTGGTGACGGTTACTTTCGTCCAGGAGTCCTCAAACTTTCTAAACAGGGGGCCAGTTCACTGTCCCTCAAACCGTTGGAGGGCCGGACTATGGGCTCTGGGATGAGTCAACTGCTAAGCAGGACAGGCAGCGGTAGCAAAAACACCCAGCGGGCCCAATAAATGTAGGCGGGCTGCATGTGGCCTGCGGGCCGTAGTTTGAGGATGCCTGCTTTAGTCCTTAGCCTGTATCTTGTGTAAGACGTGACAGGAGCTCACTCAAGCCCCAGGAATTAAAGAACACGTGGGAGCTCTGAGCTCCACTGTCCTCAACAGAGGAAGAGCTAATGCCAAGTCCATGCTACGGGTTTGGGTCATCTTTCAAATATTCCATGTGGTGATCTAATGCTTTGGGCAAAAGCCAGCTATTTGTATCCAAAGTAAATGTGCCCAATCTGGGCTGATCAATGGGGTAGATGAACAACAGTCTCGGTTTGTTTGGGGATCGTCCCAGGGAAGACTCCATTCCCAGGTGCCATCCTGTCATGTCTGCTCTGCTTCCTTAGTATTTTCACTTTTTCATCTCTTGGGCATCAGAGTTTTGCTGATTGAATTGAGTATGTAAAGAGTCACTTTACCTGTCCCATATTTCTCGTTAACCTTTTCTCCTTGCTCTCTTCGCTGCTCCAAGTGTTAACATTTGCTTTATAATGTTTGCTCCGTACTGGGTCTTCTTTTTGACGTGAAGTTAGAAAAATAAGGCTAATATGAGTGGCTCTGTGCCTAATCCCGGTCCACTATGACCATCTTTATGGTAAATCTGCTCTTCAACCCCAGAGGTTATTCTCCCTCTTTGATAAGTTTCTTTAAAAAAAATCAATTTACAGTTTCTGAAGTTGATTTGCTTTCCCAAACCTCGTTTAAGAAATAGTGTAGCCTGCAGAAGATAAATGTGGTGTTGCTCAGCTGACATCAATTTTACACACAATGGGAGCTTGGCTTACCTAGCTGTTCATTCCCCTGGCTCTGGAAAGAAAATAAAACAAAACACTAATTTCAAAAGTTACATAAGTGCCACGTCTGAAACATTCCAAGATGGTGAGTGATCAATTTAGATAGTCACAAAAGTAAGTTTCAGGCCATGCCAGAGTATTTGTTTTGTGTGGTGAAGTCCCATCATGTCAAAGTCACCCCAATGTGGCATCTCTCCTGGCAGACAGGAAATGGCCATGGCTCTCCGTTCTCTATGGAAGAAATATTCTTGCTAAGGCTTGGGATGGATTCTAGATATACCCTTTTTATTCCAACAATATACCCATCCCACCACTCTGCCCTTCCATGAGAGTTATTTTAATCCTTAGCTGATGTCCTGTGTCATGTCTCGGCCTCAGCGTTTTCAAAAGATGCCACATCCTTGATGAGATTTGCTTCAAACTGAAGGAAAAGGAAGATCAGAGATGTCCAGTCTCTGAATTAGAATGCTCAGGCTAAACTTGGTGGTGCAGGGTTTTGGGTTGTTTCTGTATATCTGTCTAGGTTCTTGGCACTTGGAGAATTGGCGGAAAGGTAACCATTCTGACTCATTCTGTCTTTAGGACTGTGTGGTTTTCTCAACCACTGGGTGTGAGTGAGGTGGGCTGTAGAAATGGTATGATACTGCAACTGAGTCTTAGAAGGATTGGCCTCTTTTTAAAAAAAAAAAAAATGATGACTTGTCATTATGGTGTAGACGGCACACCATATAGATAGTAAAGTAGATACAAGTTTAGAGACAGAAAAGTTGTGAGGTGGGTGTGAGTTTTGATTGCTCTTTCATCCTAAGGAGATGAAGAGCAGAACGTGTAAAGGCACATCATGACCTTGACTGCTGACAATGATCAGCATGGCGTGCATGATTGCAGGTAATTTGGCCAAATGAGTTTGTTCAGGCTGATCCCAGCCTCAAGCAGATTCATCATAAGGTCAAGATCTCCTAGACCTAGGCTGGCCTCACTGCCCCCCTCTTCAGGCCTGGAAACCCTGGATGAGATAGTGAATGTGGATTTCACTTCATGTAGATAGCTCTATCCCAGGAAGGGGTAGATGGCGGGGAACAGTGGGGTCACACCTACCCTTCCCTCTCTCACAGAGCACAGCTAGTAAAGGGGTCATGGGAAGGGCTGAATGCTGCACCAGTGATGCTCACCAGGGATTCGGAAGAAGTGCCCCCTTACATCTGTAAGGGGTGTTCAGACCAGCAGGGTACCCAAGGCTGCCTCCAAGCTGATGCCAGAGCCCAGAACAGCCCTATTCAGAGCAGGGGGCACAGCAATGTGCTGTTGGCAGGAAGAGATTAAGGGTTTCCCTTTCCCAGGACGTAGCATGGCAATGGGGGTCCAGGTGTGCACTCTGGGGCCCCCGCGAAGCCCTGCGTCACTTCCTCACAGGCTGGATTACTCGGGTTCAGTTACCCTGTTTGCAGATCTGCACAGTCAGGTTCTTCTCAGGACCTAGAGTTTCTCTGTGAGAATTTAAGTGATCTTTACCATGTACTTAGCAGGGCCCAGGCTGGCATGGCTAATTACTATTATCAGCCTCTCTGCCCACCCACCACTGCCCCTGGTGCCTGGCTGGCCCGTGGGTGGAGGCCCCCTGTGTCTGGTTGTTTTTCCTTATTCCTACTAGAGTCCAGTCACATCTTAAAGGCTAATCTTCCCTGCACTCATGTTGTGATTTATCTTGTTCCTTTCAGAGGTATGATAAAGAAGAGCAAAAAACCACAACATGAACAAGCTCCTGTTTGACGTGGGGGCCGGTGTGCGACTTGGGAAACACAGCTCGGCCTTCAAGGCCTTAATGTTTAATTTGCCTTAATGTTTAATACCGCCCGCTTCACACATTGCTATCTCACAGAATTCAGAATCCTGCAGGAGGTCCAAGTCCAGCTCCCCTATTTAGTAGCTGGGAGAATTTGGGCAAGGGTCTCTCCTTACCCTGCCTCACCTCCCATGTTTGTGAATTTCCCTTACCTCATGAGGATTAAAGGAATTAGAAGTAATGAAGCCATTAGAATCGTGTCTAGCACCCACTCAGCTTCTGTGCTTGTCACCTAAAACAAATGTAAGCTTTAGGGTTTAATTTTTCCAGGATGCCGGTAGAGCAACGGATGAGATGTGTCTGCGGCATTGTCTCAGAGCATTACTGTGCCAAGTGTAGGTAGGACCCGCCTTTCAACCAGGTTCCCCTTTGAGAACCCAAGCTGAGCTGAAAATGAAGATTTATTTCACCAGAATTGTTTTGGTGTTCCCAAGCCTAGTCAAAGGCAAGGGACCCTGGGAGAGTCCACATCCCTGACTTTCTCTGCAGAGCTCAAATCATGAATGAAATGTTTAGGATTTCAAATGCCAGTGCTGTTAAGTTTCCCTTTCTGATTCTTTGATTTTAAAATACCTTTTAAATTAAAAAAAAAAAAAAAAAGGAAGGCCAGTCACTTTTTGGAAAATACTATGAGGTGGTTATTTCTTTAAAGGGGGTGAAATAAACACAAATATCGGGATTTTTTTAAACAACAACAAATAAACTAGAGAAAACCCAAGTGTGCTGTGCTTCCAGGTGAAGTAGCCAGGTAAATGCCTCAGGAAGAGGAGCCATACAAGTCAGGAAAGGGCTCCATCCTTTTCTTCCAGAATTTAAAAGGTGGCACGCACAGCTCTGCGGAATCCCTACTGCCGCTGTGGCTGAGCCAATGATTCCCGGGGCAGGTGGCGCCCCTGACCGCTGAGGGGCCAGGTTTCTGTACCACGGCACTCGCTCCTCTGCGCGACATCACAGTGGGCATCTCTGGTCCAGCTCCATCCTGCTGGGATGTCTGAGAGACGGTGCGCTGGAGGTGTCTGCTGGCTGCTCAGTGGAGGTCAGCGTGGTCCGCGGTCGCTGCTGGGTCACCTGACCGGCCCTCTCCTTTCTCTCCTCTGCCCCCAGAAACAGCATCGCCGCCTCGGCCGTGTGCGTCTTCAACCTGAGCGCCATCTCGCAGGCCTTCGCGGGGCCCTTCAAGTACCAGGAGAACTCGCGCTCCGCCTGGCTGCCCTACCCCAACCCCAACCCCAACTTCCAGGTAAGTTAGGGGGCACCGGGGTGCTGTGGGTCCCCTGTGAAGAACGCAGACACTGTGTGTAGACGGGCAGGGGAACCCTGGATGCGTGCAGTTGCCACTGCGCGCGGCTGGGCTAATGTCAATAGACCCGGGGCCTTTTGTCAGCTGTGGCGCCTGGACCCAGAAAGGGCCTGTTGTCTGCGGTGATGCCTGAGACCGGACTGAAAAAGGCCAGCATTCTGCTGCGGGTCAGGAATCCAGGCTTCAATTAGCACTAATGATGCTGAGCTCTGCGTCCCCGTAATCTCTAATCCCTAATGAATGACGTTCTAATGAATGGGGTGCAGGGCACTGAGCAGCGGAGACCGCAGACAGGATTAGAGCTCTAATTGGCAAATGTGGCTGGATTTCCTGTTGGAGAGGACGGAGCGCAATGCGGGCAGCTGGAGGAAAGGGAAGGAGAGAGAGGCCGTTCATCTATGGCCACAACAGGGCAGGGCGTCCAGCTGTCGGGGCCTTGTGAGCCCTCCTGCCTCTCAGGGCTGGGAAGACAGGACAGCCACAGAGATGATGGACTCATTCATGTGTGAGCAGGTGTGTCCCTCTGCTTGGTGGAGCTACAGCAAAACACCACGGAGTGGGTGGCCCAAAGAAAGACCCTCACTTTCTCACAGTTATGGAGGCTGGAAGTTGAAGGTCAGCCAGCGTGTGAGAAGCATCTCTTCCTGGCTTCTAGATGGCCATCTGGCTATGTACTTGCGTGGGCCATGCAGAGAGATGTCTCTGGTGTCCCTTCATCTTTTATGAGGGCAACTTTTCCACTGGGACTGGGCTCCACCCTTATGACCTCACTCACCCTTATTTACTTGCACAGAGGCCCCATCTCCAAGTACCCCCACCCAGGTATTAGGGCTGGGACAGAACCTTTGGCAGGAGCACAAACATTTGGGGGGGTAGTGGCAGGCTCCCCCTGAGGGCTTCCTGGCAGCATTCCAGTGATCATTGTCCTCATTGCCCTCCTTACAGTTTTCAGCACCAGCGAGTGCCCCTGTATGGGGTGCTGAGGAGACATCACCTTGCGTGCGGCAGCAGTGCTGAGATGGGCAATGAGTTTTCTATATACAGACAAGGATGTTGGGCTGTGGGGCAGATAATCTGGCTGAGGCAACACAGCTGATTAGTAACCACACTGGGATTCCCAACCTTGGTCCTCAGACGCAAAATTTCCATCTATTCTGACTAAATGACAGTGAGTTCCCATCACTCCTCGGTGGTAGAAGTGGGTCCTGTATCCAGGACTCCGAATTCTCCATGGGCCGTCAGCAAAGCATATGACTTTGGCCTGTCAGAAAACTAAGAGTGTGGGAAGATTCAGTTATTTATACTTAGACTGTGTGAAGGAACATTCAATTGAAATTGTTGTGAGAGCATTTGGGGTTTTTTTGTCATTTTTAATTTTTTGAAAGAGCATGGGGTTAAGAATAAGATGGCGGGTTCACATGGGAACCAGTTCACAGGGAAGCAGCTTTACCATTCACTTCCCATCTCCTGCTGTCCTTGAGCAAATTATTTGACATCTTTTATCTCGTATCTTCATCAGTTATATGAGGAACAAGGGTTACAAATTCATGGGAATATTTTAGGAGTAAATTTTGGTAACACTGATTAGTGTGCATTGAGTATTTGATTAAAATGACTCTTAGGGACAATTTATTTGATCCCTTCTGGGTCCCGTATGTTGGGTAAATGGACACTTTGTCTCATTTTCTTCTCTTATACATAGTATATATACATCATTCCTTTTAAGAAAGTCCTTATAAAATCCTCAAGGTTAAAAAATTAAAGATGCTTTCTACATTTATAGTGCACTTTCCGTTCTTGATGTTTTTATTACAAAACTCTCACAGTGAACGGAGTGACTTAATACACTTTGTAATCCTTTACCTCTAGGCAGTGAATAACTTTCTTCAGGTTCATCTGGATGCATTTGTAGCACACTGCAAATCCCCTCATTTCCTAAGGCCAAAAGCATCTGGTTTTATAATGCCAGCGTCACAAGGAAGGGCTTAGTCTCCTTTATGAGCTGGGAATGTGTCCGCACAGCCTAATGAATGGAGCATGCAGAAATGGGGTGCATTCCAGGCCGCGAGCTGCAGAGCTGAGCCTGTCTTTTTTGTAGAATGCAAGATTTGCAGGGACCCAAACTTACAGATGACGGTGGTTCTTTGTATGAGTCCTAGTACAAATAAGTACCAGGTGTTTTCTCATTTCTTGTATTTGATAGCCACACCGGCATAGGTGTCCTGATGGATATTCATAAAAGCATTCGGATAGGCCTGGAATGGGAATGCATTGAAGGGGCCTCTCCCCTAGACATTCCTATAGTCGCAATAACTGACAATAAGGAATTATTGGACTTTTAAAATTCTTATTTGTTCTACAAAATTTCAAACTTTGAAATTTTTTGCAGCTCTCTATGTATCATTAATCAGAAGAGCAGACAGGGAATTCAGGCCCAGGAAAAAGAGTGGGTCAGGAGGGAATTTCAACATGTAACATGGAAATCTCAATTGAAAACAATAATGAAACAGCAAAGACTGTTATAATATTCACAGTTACAATCTAGAAAACCACCCTAGGTGGTGCTTCAAAGCCCACCCTGTTAGGACTCCAGTCATCAAAATTATCCAAACCCCCTGCCTCACTCAGAAAGACATCAGTCACCAAAATTCAACATCATCTGGACATAGCTACAGGATGGCAGACTCCAGAACTTTCTGTGCAGTGTTAATTACCACTGATCAGGATGAAGCCAAAAATCAAAAACACAGATGCTTGAAAGTGGCCAAGTGGATGAGGAGGCTGTTGCTTGCAGAGGACCAAGGAGAGATATGTGGCC